CCCCCCCCCCTTCTGACTCCAAAATACACAGAATTATAGAAATCATTATCAACACAGATCAGCTCTTAACTGTTTCGGGCTTAAAAACAAAACCAAACAAAACCTGAAGGATCATTTTCCAGAAAAAAAAACCCAAACAAAACCTGAAGGATCATTATCAACACAGATCTGCTCTTTAACTGTTTCGGGCTTAAAAACAAAACCAAATAAAACCTGAAGGATCCAACCAGACAACAGTTAAGTACTCACTGTGTGTGACGTCATCAGTGGCACAAGGCGCAGGAGCGTTTACATTTGTCGAGCATAAAGGCCAGATACTGGGGGTTGACACAATAGCCCAGCGACGCCCATGTGGAGCAGTGGATGTGCTCATCGATGCATGGTTTCACTACAACATTGAGGGGGAGGTGGGGGGGGGGGGGGGGGGGGGGGGGGGGGGGGGGGTTGACACTCCTTTAAAACACTGCATAATAACTCGTGAAATTTGACGTTTGTAGGAGACTGGATGAGGTTTTGAGCGGGCCAGTGTGAATAATCTGTTACACAGCCCTGAGAGGGGTTAGTCTTTTAGTTTCAGTTAGAATTTTACGGTACTTTCAACACTGATAGATCAAATGAATGCCGAAGTTTAGAGGTATTACTATAGAGTAAAATACAACAAAAAGAGGAAAGATCAGGGGGATAGACATAAAATTAAAAAAAAGAAATAGGGACCAAACCACATCAGAGTACCCGCCAACCACCTATTAGAGAGCAAGAACCAGGGGGGATTCAGAGGGGATGGAACCAATGACCTGAAGATTATAAGTGACTGCTTTTGAAAAACCTTGACATAATATATAGATCTATTGTCAAGTTTGAGAAATTCATTTAAAAGATTCAGGGTGTTGAATAATTTATTAACTTTGACTGGTAAAATATTATGTTAATAAATCTATGCTGGTACTTACCACCGAATTTGACACTATATGTTCCAACTTGAACTTGTCAAACAAATCGGAAGACACTGGAGTGATATGAAAGAGTCCAGTTCAGTGGACGTGTCTAATAGACTTATAAAATAATAATAAATATTATAATAATA